ATTATTATATGGATTGTGTTTGATAATATCCTTCAGTTTCCTGCTGCAGATTGGAATGTTTTCTGAACAAGTGAGAATTTAATCTCAATCAATTTACTTGCATGAATACAAGTTCAACATATGAAAAGGCGTCATCTATTTAAACTGGTAAACAGAAAATTCTCACATTAAGAAATGTATTTATAAATGTAACAAACCTTTTAGGAAACAGAAAAAGAAAATACTTCATTTCCCTCTAACAGAGATGTTCATACAGAAGTATTATCTGGGCTTTCTCTTGAAAAAATATTAAAACTTCACTCCATGAAGCACATTAACTCATGACAGCCCCCTCTGGATGGCAGTCAAATTACAACACTGAAAAAAAATGTAAGCCAGTGATTTTAAACTGTGTCCCTGGAGTCCAGAGTCCTGCAGCCTTTAGCTGTGTCCCTGGAGTCCAGAGTCCTGCAGCCTTTAGCTGTGTCCCTGGAGTCCAGAGTCCTGCAGCCTTTAGCCGTGTCTCCGGCCTTCATGCTTGAACTGCCTCACCAGGATGCAGTTCTGCGATGAGCCGACACTGGAGCCAGGTGTGCTAATGCAGAGACGCATCTAAAAGTTGCAGGACTCTGGCGGATGCCATTAGTTCATCAACTAGAAGTAATTTTAATCTAATAAACCGACAATCATAAGTTGGTTAATCGTTTGCGTCCGTATCGGAACGCCGGTACCTCCAGGTCGTCCTCCACGATCACCACGGAGGAGTGGGAAAGGGTCCGGAAGACCTGGTTCAGAGCCCAGCGGTAGTGTCTGGAGATCTTGTAGTAACCCTGGAACTTCTTGTGCTCGGGCCGGACGGGAATGTCAGAGAGGTCCGGCTGCTTCAGGTGAGTGACTTTATCCCCGTAGGAGGCGATGACGTCGGCGGTGGCGGCGTGCCCGCAGTCCTGGCTCACTATGATGGGATAGAGCTCGGCGGAGGGCCGCAGCTCCAGCAGCTTGTCCAGGCAGCGCCTCACTGTGACCCGGTTACAGGCGATCACCAGGATGGGAATGACTGGCGGACTGGGAACGTCGACCTTTGCCCCCTTTCTGTTGGCCGGCTTCCACAGCGACCGGTGGCTCAGGATCTGGGACAGGATCTCCTTCTGCTTTGCCAGCTCCGATTCGAAGGAGTCTGCGACGCGGATCACGTCTCCCACCAAGTCATCGGTGGGCACGGAGGCCGGATCCTGCTGCCGGCACCCGGCTGGCCCGGGGGCGCTCTGCCCCACAGCAGCAGCACCAGCACGGCGTTCCAGGTTACAAACAGAAACGTCCCGCATAGAATGAGAGAGCTTCTTTTCCGGAACATAGCTGTGGGATCTGGGAAGAGCTCGGCTCCGAGTAGGCAGTGTCCTGGTTGCAGACAAAAGGAACGGGATCTGGGAGGGTCCGTCTTCGTCCCGTTTCATCACAGAGTCATATTCCCAGATGTGTCTGGCTCAGGGTGCAGCTGCCGGCGCCAGGGGGAAAAAATCCAGCATGTTTTCAGGATTACAGCCCAACCATCCTGGAGTAATTATCCCTGACTTTTCGGTTCCCGTTTCACCTGAAACAACAAGAGCAGAAACATGGAAACCAGAGGCAAACCGAGCAGGAAGGCATGAAAACGCAGCGCATCGCAGGAACTGTCTGGACAGCTGCATTGGTTTTCCCTTATCACCTGGAAGCAAACACACACACACGCACTCACACACACACTCACCTGCAGGTCCTGAAACTCTCTAACTCAGCGCTTCCCAAATATTTCAGGCTCTAACCCAGATAACAGCGCAACCCAGATTATGGGTTCAGAGACGACATGAACAGCCGCCGAGTTATTTACTTTAAAAGATTATTTTCTCTAAAAAAAACCAAAAATATATATTTATTTTTATCACTAAAAGTTTAAGTTAGAAGAACCTGAAAAGGTTGTGACTCAAAAATGAGTCACAACTCAACCTTTGATGACAACCGTCCAGGTCAAAGGTCAGTCGTTCCAGCAGGTTGTTTGGGTTTTTTTTTTAGCTCAAAAACAAAGAATATTCTGCCTGAAAAAATACAAATAAAAACTTTGAGCTTTTGGTTTTCAAAGTAAAGTTTAGAACCGAAGCCTGACATTAAGAAATAAATTAACCCTGGAAACTTTGACTAGGCCGCTCCTTGTTTTGTAGTTTCTACACTCCAGAAACAATGTGCTGCTATTTGCTCAGCATTAAAGTTGATAATTAATGAGATTATGGGTGCGTTTACTTTTATCACAGAGCAAAACCTGCAACAATAAACAAAACAGCTGCTCTTAAAGGGGCAACGCAACGAACAATTAATCAACAAAACATCCGAGACTCACTGGGTTAAAAAAAAAATCACCTCACCAGGGTTGAAGCTTGAACATGTTAAATGTGATACATGATGCAGCTCCACAGACACTAAACCCACCAGCCTGCCGTGGATCCCCACCAGTAGCTTCCCCCTGTTGAAGCTCCACAGGTACTGAGACCCACTGCGTCCACCCACCAGCCCCGCCCGCCCGCCCGCCCTGGATCCCCAGCTGAAGCTCAGCTCTCACCCAGCCGGAGCCTCCGCCTCCTGCCGGCTCACCCCCCGCTGACAGCCCGGCTCAGGTGAACCTCGTGGCGGCGGGACGCGGCGCGGACCTCCCTCCTGTCGGATTTCCTCCCGCTGGAGCAACTTACAGCCGCCGAGTTAGCGTGTTTTTTCCCACCGAGCAGAACTGTGACGCTGAAGGAAAGTAACACGACGACTTCCCTCTTTGAGCGCTCGGGCGGAAGTCCCGCCCTAACCGTCACCTTGAGGAGTTATGCAACAGTTTGAGGAAGGAAGGCATGAAAGTAATGAAAAGCAGCTGGTGGAGACATGAACACCAGCTTCAGACTCAGGAGTTACTTCAACGAGCCTCGTTTTTCTGTTTCTGCGCAACAAAATCCAGTTTTTCTCTCCTGAAGAAACATGAACATGTTTTTATCTGTGCAGCAGAACCGCAGCTTCCTGTTCGGGTCCGGTTCTGTTTCCACCTTTAGAAATGATCTGGATACAGAAGAACTGCTTTCATTAGGACATCAGAGTATGAAACAATAAAACACCCAGAAATTCACAAACTTAAAGGACCCAAACAGCAATCCCTCCATTCAGACATCCATTATCTACGAGTGCCAAATGTGCCATTACTTATGTGTCATGATTCAAATTTAACTGGAAGTAAATGCATTTAATTATTTACATGTTGCAATATTTTAACAAATACACAACTCTACATATGTAACTGGTTCACTATTTAGTTTTATATTTTTAATTCATACATTTGTATTTGATGACTTATTCAATCGTGGCTCCAAGTATCATTTTGAATGATTACAAAAAGGTAAAAAATTATGAATATTTTCTTCAAATATTTTCAAAAAACTGCAGAAATTTGGAGGCTGAAACGTCTGAATGCAAATAATTATCCTGAAGTTTTGAAGATTTTGTTTTTCCTGGTTAAAAACCATCAATAATAATCCGTCTGCCCATCTAACCATACATTCCTCCGTTTTTCATAAATCTGTAAATCAGTCTGTCCTTTATTGTTTGTTTCTTTGTTTGACCAAGACTGAGTCACAGAGTCAGTCTTATGGGCAGACAGACGGATGATTTTAGATCGACGGCCATCAGGCGGTTTCTCAGGCAGCAGGTCACTGTAAAGCACGGCAGCTGAGGAGTCATGCTGCGGGGAAGCGTCTCATCAGGGATGTACCAATATTATAATCTGTGCTGATGTCAGTATCCATTATTAATACTGCTGAAGGAGCTGATAACCAATATTTACCACTGAAATTATTCTCAACATTAAAGTTTTTATTGTGTAGCTGCAGAGTCAATCCGTCTGTAATTGTCCGTCTCCCGAAAACAAACCAGGATTCAGTGGGATATGTAGAAACTTTCCTCCATTCCTGCTGTTAAATGGAAAAACATTTCAAAAAGTTGGTTTCAGTCATTTTTCACTTTGACTTTAACAAGTTAGAGATGCTTAAGCAAAATAAAAACACAAAGTTTTGTGCAATAAAACTGACATCTTTCTGTGATTTTCATGTAAAATCTAAAGATGTAAAAACTGACATTTTTATTCAGAAGAAGAGAACTTCCTCTTGGTTTGGTTCAGTTTCTGAAGAATTGCATAAAGATGGTTTTGGTCTCATCTGCAGATCCTGGTTGCCAGTGTGACTTGCGGTTCTCCGTGTTTTGCTGAGCATGGAGGATTTTGCAATGCAAAAAACTTCCACTGAAAAACCCAGCAGAGTACAAAACTGCAGCTGTTGCCGTTTTATTTTACACTCAACTGGATGTGAAACTCAAGCTTTGGTTTCCTGAAAGGCTGATTACATTTCAAACTCGTTCTGTTTCGGGTGAATGTAAATGTAGACCAACCAGTTTTTCAAGCACTGTAAAAAACGGGATAATTTATCTGCAGAACATTTTGAGATTTCCTGAAATAAGAATCAGAATCAGGTCATTTTTGAAACTCTTTTCCATTCATCCAGTGAATATCTGGTCCAGGTTGGGCTGAACTTTGCTTTTTCCCAGAAACATTCACAGGAAGCCATGTTCATGTGTTCATGTGTTCATGTGGATCACTGCAGGTTGGGAACAGGTGGAAACATCTGGACCTCCTGGTTCCTATAGAGTCCCAATCTGGATAATCTGTAGTGTTTTCCCATTTGGTTCCTGAGCTTGGCCTTTGACCTTACTGGGGGTGGGCATGCAGAACTGGCTCTTTGTTGACTCTGCAGTAGAGTACATAAAACTGACCTCTGACCCTGACCAGAATAAGAAGCAGGTAGGAAAGAGATGAATGAATGCATTCATGTTTTCATCTTGTCTGAAAAAACTTGAAACAATGCAACAGATTTGTTGTTTTCAGAAGCTGAAACCCATTTAATACTCGCCAAAGGAAATGACATGAAGCCGTTTCATGTGTGGTATTTATCTTTATGTGCTGAACAGATTTTTGTGCAGTGCGAAGGAAAACAAGCACACTGTTTGAATGTCATCAGATCGTGTTTTCCGCTGGTTTGCTGTTTCCTGACTGCGTTCAGCGGGAGCTGAAGCGACGCGTGTCCTGACGGCGCCAGCAGGCTGAAGTCCAAACCTGTGAGTGAAGGTAAGCAGATCGATGCTGGGCTGGAGTCTGGCTGCTTGGCCCTCAGTCAGGGGGGTCATGGGTCACCTGCCGGCCAGAACTGCACGTGTGTTCCTGAAAGAGGACAAACAGAACGATCTCACACACTGCGCTGCAGAAATGATTATTTAGAAAAGCTCACCTGTGTTGGGTCGGTGCCGCCGCTCTTCATCTGTGGTTTTGAGAAAATGAACCAGGTGAGGGAAGAACCCGGGTTTTGCACCTTCAACCCAGAGCTGATGGAGACGGAGAGCTTCAGGACTCCGGCTGGAAGCTGAATGAAGCCCTGCAGACATATCCTCTCTGGCGCTTCAGGGACAATGATGTGAATTATTTTGGAGAAGACGTCTTCTCTCTGCTGCAGTGGCGCCTTTTGGCCGCTGGGGGCGCCACAAGCCGGGGATTGTGAAAGTTTGGAAGATAATTTATGATTTTTCCTAAAAACTTCTTCTGCCGGAGCTTCACTGTCCCCCTTGCAGCAGACAGAGAGCCCTGCGGCCGACACCAGGCGGAGGATCCTCCGCTCGGACCCGCGGGAGGATCCGCCGCGCTCCGCCGGGGAGTCGCGCAGCGGCCCGCCGGCCAGTCCGAGGCTGTACGCCGCCGAGGCAGGCCGCTTGGTCGGCGGGTTCCGGGTCCAGATGTTCCCCCTGCAGCGGAGCACGGCGGACAGGGCCGAGGCGGACGGGGTGGAAGCCATGGCGGGAAGGAGTCGGTTCGTCCTGGAGGTCCGCAGCCGAGCAGAGAGTCACATAATGAGGCTGAAGGAGGGGAGCAGCGCAGGGCCGGGGATCCAGACCAGGTTCCAGACTCACAGGGGTGTGTCTTCAAGGAGAAGCTGTCATGAGACTCAGCACCAAACAAAACTGGGTCAAAGGTCTTAATTTAGCTTCCAGAGCAGAGAAACACACCAGCAGCAAGTTTCCTAAAGTCTACAGGAAAATATTCACACTTAAATATCAGCCACAAACTCAAATGTGTTTTATTTTGATTCCTTTGTTTTAGGTTTAAATCAAAGAAAAATGGATGTTGATTGTGGAGATGCTGCAAAGCACAAAAATCCAAAAATTATATGAAAAAACATTTAAACAAACATTACTGGCACTTTGACATATTTCTGTTGTGGAAATTTAATGGACTTATTTTATAAAAACCTGTTGAAACCTGCAGTTATGTTTTAGTTGACGATTATTTTAGCCAGGATCCAGAGCCCTGGTTTAACCCAAACTACTAAATGAACTAAAATAATAAAATTAAAAATTCCTTCCTTTACGTTTTTATTTTTCAAATCAAATTGTTTTCCATCCTCCCCCTGCAGAGCTAAAGTGATTTTCAGAGCTACACTCCCAATCTGCAACAGAACAGCAGCAAAAGAAGAGAATCCAGATGTTCCAATGGTCTAGTCAAAGTCCAGGCCTGAAGGGAGCAGAAATTAAAAGCATTTCTGTTTATTCTGGTGTTGTTCCTGTAATGGTGCCGGATGTTCCTGACATTCCCGCATTCAGTCTGTTGCCCCGGGTTACGGACCTGGCATCAAGCAGCGGGTCGGCATGCGGCGGAACCGGCTGGTCCACCTGGGCCCGACCTGGGCCTGAACTGGGCCTGAACTGGGCCCGACCTGGGCCTGAACTGGGCCCGCTCTCAGCTGAAGTGCTTTCAGCACAGGAGGGTGTCAGGTGTCACGGTTCTGGGAAATCAGACATAAAATAACTCAAATTCTCCAGGAAATGTTTGAATAAAACAGTTTTATTGACTCTGATACCTGTGAATATCTGCTCATCGTTTCTGTTTAGAGTTCAGGGTATAAATAAGTTTCAGAAGGTTTAGTGCTTTTCGTGGTCTGGAGACGATTCTCCCCCCGACTGGTTCACAGTCAGATTCTGTCAGTCGGAAGTCAAAAACAAACCAGTAATTATCCAGGAAACGGTTTACAGTTACAGTTTTACATTCATTCATTTGTAAATGTCACAGGTTCAAAGCAGATATTTAACCAGCTAATTATTTAGGTTACTGATTAAATATTTAGCTTGGGGAAACATTTTTAGTTTGAAGTTAAATATTTAATTTGGCAAATAAACAATGAGCATAGAAATATGATGAATCGATGACTGAAATATTCATTTTCATTTTTTCTCTTATGATGGTTAAATAATAAATTATTGCTGTTCATTTTCACTGAATCGTCACCGATGGAACCCCGTATCCTTCACAGTCAGCCTGGAGAAACGCCGCCATCTTGCTCTTCCTCATTCCTTCACCGCTTCATACCTGGAGTGAAAACTCAGCGCGATCCTTCCTGACCCCTCTGGGGTCAAAGTTCTTCATGCTCAGCTGGGAAAAACACCTCCATCTTGTTCTTCCTCAATCCTTCCTTCACCGTTTCACACCCGGAGTAAAACCTCAGCGCCCCTCAGGCCCCACCCCTCAGGCCCCGCCCCTCAGGCCCTGCCCCTCAGGCCCCACCCCTCAGGCCCTGCCGCTCAGGCCCCGCCCCCTCAGGGTGAGTTCGGTCCAAAGTTCTCGCTGCTCTCCTGTGAGGAGGAGCCGGTAAAGTTCCCGCCGGGTCTGCCGGGTCCAGTGTTCATTGTCACTCTGGGGACGATGATGAAGGCCAGGATGCCCACCATCATCAGCGGTGATGGTGATGATGGACGCCACCACGGCGTAGTAGCAGCGGTCGGAGTGGAACAGCAGCCGCATGCGTCCCCTCATCCTGCTCGGCGGTCTGCCCACGTCCACCATGGTGGGCGGGGCGCCGCCCTCCTCGGCGGCGGCCAGTTCGCCGCCCTGGACGGCCGCCGGCGGGACCTGGTGCTTCTTGACGGGCAGGCTGATGGCGGCGGACTTGGCGGCGGGGGGCGGGTGCTTCAGCAGCAGCCGGCCTTTGCTGCGCTGGAAGCGGATGGACAGCGCGCGGCGCATTTCGGCCGGCAGGCGGCCGATGACGTCCTGGTTGTTGCCCAGGCGGGGCAGGTCGCGGCCGCGGGGCAGCTCGGTCAGGACGCGGCACACGGGGCACGACAGCGTCTTGATCTCCGGCGACGTGACGTTGATGCGCGCCAGGCACTCCAGGCAGAAGGTGTGACCGCAGGCCAGCAGCTTGGGCGTCTTGAAGACGTTGTCGTAGGAACTGAAGCACACGGCGCACTCCGTGTCCCCCAGAAGGTCCATGGGGGACGTGTCCCGCCGCTCCGCGTCCTTCCCGTCCCGCCGGTGCCGGGTCTCCTCGCTGCGGCCCCGCCGGTGCCGGTCACTGTGGTGACGCTCCCGCCTCCTCCCTCGCTCTGAGTCGCTGCTGCGGGAGCGGCGCGCCTTCTGGGGCCGGTCCTTCTGGGTCGGAGCCGGCTGGCCCGGTTTAGGCTTGACGTTCTGGGGCATCCTGGACCCCCGATGCCCCTCGCCCTGTCCGCTCATGATGGCTGTCCTTCACTGAAGAGCTGTGGAGGACAGAACGCTGCGTTAGGGAACGCTGATGCAGCAGCGTTAGGGAATGCTGCTGCGTTAGGGAAAGCTGATGCTGCAGCGTTAGGGAACGCTGATGCAGCAGCGTTAGGGAATGCTGCTGCGTTAGGGAAAGCTGATGCTGCAGCGTTAGGGAACGCTGATGCTGCAGCGTTAGGGAATGCTGCTGCGTTAGGGAAAGCTGATGCAGCAGCGTTAGGGAACGCTGATGCTGCAGCGTTAGGGAATGCTGCTGCGTTAGGGAAAGCTGATGCAGCAGCGTTAGGGAACGCTGATGGTGCTGGGTTAGGGAACGCTGATGCTGCAGCGTTAGGGAACACTGATGCTGCAGCATTAGGGAATGCTGATGCTGCAGCATTAGGGAATGCTGATGCTGCAGCATTAGGGAATGCTGCTGCGTTAGGGAACGCTGATGCTGCAGCGTTAGGGAATGCTGATGCTGCAGCATTAGGGAAAGCTGGTGCAGCAGCGTTAGGGAATGCTGCAGCAGCAGTGTTAGATAATGCTGCAGCAGCAGCAGCGTTAGGTAATGCTGCAGCAGCGTTAGGGAATGCTGCAGCAGCGTTAGGGAATGCTGCAGCAGCGCTGGCTCATGCTGACTAATGAAGGCCTTTTGTTGCTAAATGTTTTCCTTTCACTAAATTTCCTCAGGAACCTGTTGGTTGAGTTAAAGGACGTCACACCAGCAGATCAAAATTTGTTTCCAACATGAAAACAGGAAGTTAAATAACTCAAAATATTACCAAGTATTTCTGTCTGGTTCCTGCAGCACATGAAATGAGACAGAACTAATTAAAACGTTTTATTTGTTAATAATTTCTGAATATTCACAATATATCCTGTTTCTACTGGTGGATCAGTTCCTGTTATGGATAAAATGTCTCGTTACCAGTTAAACGTCGTTTCATCCACTGGATGTAAGCGGCTCACATCGTTTGTACAGGCAATGAAATCCTTGAAAATGCTTGAATTTCATTCAGATTTCTGTATCAAGGCCTTCATGTTCAAACTGCACCGCTTTGTAATAAAGTTAAATGTTTGGTTAATGTTTACAGTTTATTTAAAAATAATAAAAATTTGTGTCTGAACTTAAATCAGACTAAATTTTTCTTGTGTTAGTTTAGTTAGAATCATAAAACCTGAGCTGGTTTTCTGACAGTCAGGTGTGTTTCAGTTGCTCTATTTCTATCTTATTAACAAAAGCAATAAAAACATCACAGCTGTGGGTGAAACTGCTTTATTTCATTTGGATTATTTTATATCCAAAGAGGAAAGTTTAAAACTGACCTTGAAATGTTTGATCCGTGTTTTATGAATATTGAGGAATTACTGATTTAAGCTCATATGTGTGACGCGTCGGTTGGTTTTAATTTTGCAGCAGAAATTCGGCAGAACTCCTCGGCAGTGTTGCTGTGTGGTGTGCAGGTTGTTTAATTCTGACCTGATAAGTCGGAAAAGGTCCGATCCGGTTTTTTCCGCGCCGCTCCAGACGCTCAGGTAATCCTGCTGCGACAACTGGGATCAAAAATCTTCATCATTGAGTAAAGAAAGCTCAGCGGTTCTGACCCGGTCTGACAAACCTGGGCTCTTATCGTCTTCTTCACACCCTCCTCTCTCTCTGCCTGTCGCTCGCCCGTCCGCCCTCGCCGTGTTCTGGTCAGACCGGTCCGACCAGCTGCAGCTCAACCAGGACGTTCAGCCAGAAAACACTCGGTTCTCCTTCCTGCAGAATAAAACCTGATGAGACCACCTGATCCGACACGATCCGAGGCGCCGGAGCTGGAGGAAAGTTCCAGCGCAGCTGCAGCGCATGCTTGTCATACCTCAGAACCGGAGCAGAACCACCTCAGAGCGTCCACATGACCAACACACACTCAGAGCTGTTGTCAAACATCACTTTCTTTAATTCTGCACAGTGTTTTGGGTCAGGTGTTGACACAGAACCCAGAGCAGGGCGTGTTTGACCAGAACCTTTAACCTGCTTACGTCTGAAAACATCAGAGGACAACAGATCGCCATAAACTTTATCAGCTCAGATAAACCGTAACCCACTTCTGTACAACCCAGTTCTGTGTGGACTCAGGTCCGTTAATGAGTCTGAGGGCGTTCAGGTGCAGCAGGAAAAAGCACCGACTTTCAGTCTGGTTTATCATTAAACCCGTCCATCAGTGTGGCCCGGTTCTTCCTCCACGACAGGCAGCAGCTTTACGGCTCAGATAATCCAGATGTGAGCATCACTCCGGGCCCCGGGGGGCTCCGGGGGGTTACGGAGGGCCTCAGCCCAGCTCCCCCCGGGGGGCCCAGGGGGCCTCAGCCCAGCTCCCCCCGGGGGGCCCAGGGGGCCTCAGCCCAGCTCCTCCCGGGCCTTGCCCTGCTTCCGGGGCATCTTCTTGCTGCTGCTGTCCTCCAGCTCTTTGCTCTTGTAGTAGTGAGGCGCCACCTCCAGCAGCCAGCCGCTGTCGATCTCTATCACCTGTTGGCACAGCAAGAAGCCGATCAGAATTTGGGTTCTGATCCGAACTGACCCTCTGACTTGAACCGAACCACTCCGTTCCTACAACCTGTCCCTCTGGTCTCCTGACGGTCCAAACTGCTCCTGAGCCATTATATTACAACCAGAACCTTCTGGTGGGTCAAACAGGCAGAATCCAAATGGATCTGAATATTAAAAAGCCCCTGAGTGTTTTGTTAAGATTCAAAAAACCTAACATGAAATTTTACCTTCCACATAATTTTCCCTGACAAGCCAGTCATTACATACCTGTCTGTACAAAAGTCTCTTAAATGAAGTTATTCATTGAACAGTTTGAGATTTTGATGCAGCTTTGATGTTTTTATTTCCTCCATGTGAGGAGCTGGGAATCTGACCAGGAAAGAAACAACGTTTCATTCTGTGGTTATTTATAGTCATTCTTAACGAATGGAGACCGAAGGAAACGGGATCGGCTTGTTGCAGCTGGATCCTTTCTGCCATGTTTGGTTTTTCTCACATTCAGGTAAATAATCGCTGCAGGCAACAGTCAGCTCAAAGGTTCAAGTTGAACCCGTCTGTTATCTGTCGACGACATCTCTGGAGTCCAGGAGTGTTTCTATCTCTGAGTGACTCAAAGGTCAGATCAGAGGAACGTGAGTAAAACAAAGGCCTTCAGGAAGCTATGGAGGATAACTGAACAGAGCTGATGAATGTGATGTCAGCGCGAGGCGACACGCTCCCTGCCCGCCGCCTTCAGGGTGTTGTTTACATTCCAAACATGCAGCAGCTGCTGTCACCTGTCTCATGAACTCCTTGGTGGTGAAGACCAGTTCGTGGTAGATGAGCCAGCGCGGCTGCTCCTCGAACAGCGAGCTGTTGGGATGGACGAACACCGTCTGCTGGTGCTTCACCGACCGGTAGCCGCCCTTACTGAGCCGCGCCGTGTGGTAGAAGTACCCGGCCGTCACCGCCTGCCGGGGGACACAGAGGCCGTGAGGGTCAAAGGTCATCAGACAGGGTCACAGAGGACGACATTCAACATGCGAGAGACATTCAGAGGTTCAGTTTGTGTTGCTGCTGCCCACAGGACACAACCAGAAGCAGCAGCTGAGTCATCATGAGAAACTGGTCCATCAAGTTCAATTCTAACTGCAGGATGAGAAAAACAACCAGCACATCCTGTCAAAGCAACAGATCCGCCATGTTGCTTTCCATTCAGCAACTTTTTCAACATTCACACTGCTGGGAACTTGTTTCCTACTTAAATCTGAACTTTGACCCCTCTCTAAAGTTCATTTAAAAAATCCCGTTTAAAGCAGAGATCTGTTTTCCTGAGTCACTGTTTCATGCAAAAGTATGCAAATGGCGCCCGAGTCCCGCCTGACGAGTCCGCCTGACGAGTCCCGCTGACGAGTCCCGCCTGACGAGTCCTTATCCTGCCATCTGTTGCCCTGGCGACGGGGCAGCTGCTGCTGTTGGCCATGTTATAATCTGTGTGAACCACATCCAGGCTGTTGTTCCTTTTATGCTTTAAAATCTATCATAAAAGCAGACTAATATTCTAATTTTCACTTTGCTGAATCGGCCCTGACTCTGTGGCAGCCTGAGCCGCCTCACTGCAGGCTGCAGCTGTTCCAAAAATATCCTAAACAAATCAAATCTGAACCCTGACCCCTCTCTAAAGGCTCCAGTCTGAATCCGAATCTCAGCTCCGCTGGTCCAACACACCCAGCACCGCCTCAGATAAGCTGCGGTGTCGGTTCCTCTGCTTGCTGGCAGCCTCAGCTCTCCTGGTTCTGCTCCACACAGCCGGGAAGTGAAACACGGATCAGAACTCCTAACAATGAATGATTCTAAAGAAAATTCCCTGTTGGACCCAGCGTGTCTCTGAGATTTGCCTCCCGAAGTCGTAGTTTTGTCTGTGAATGAACCGACGCCTTCAGGCCTGAGCAGCTTCCAGGGATCAGGATTAGAAAAGGAGTTTATTCGTCTGGCGAAGCAACAGAAAACAGAAACAATGAAATGTTCTGATGTCATCACACACACTGTCACAGAAATCATTTAATAACTGTTTATGTTCCTGATGAATGTCTGATGAAGCTCAGTGAAGATCTGAGACAGAAAACTGCAAGCAGCAGCAGGTCAAAGGTCAATGAATCACGACACACATGTGGTTTTAACATCAGAGGGAGTTTGGTGTGATGTCTCCTGCTGCTCAGAGATCGGACCTGGTTTCCCTGTCGAGTCTTTGTGAAAGAAGCCAGGAAATCCGAGAGGATTTTTAGGAAAGTGAACCTTTTGTTTAGCAGATTTTATCTGGAGACGTCAGCGAGAAAACAAAACAGGACACGTTTTGTTCCTCTTTTCAGACGGCAGGGAAACGCTGTGGAAGGACGACCGCTCTGTGAGCAGGACTGACCTTACGGATGGGGACGTTGTCCCCGCTGCAGCTGACCACCTCCACCTCGATGCGCTCCATCAGACCCTCCAGCTGGTCCCGGACGTCCCGGGCTCGCCTCATGGAGCGGAACTGGATGAAGTTCTCGTAGCACCACTGGGTGGAGTAGCCGCTCTCCACCCACTGGGGACGAAGCAGAGCGGGACACAGCTTAGACAGAACCAACAGCTGTCCGGTCCACACGCCTGATCCTCTACCACAGAGACTTTAAACCAAACAGCTTTCATTCAGAGCAAAAGGATTGTTTTGAAGAACAGAATTTATGTTCATGGGGCTCTAACTGCATGCAGCTGCCTAAAAACAAATAGTCACTTTTACTGTTATAATGACAGCACCACAAAATACTGTGATGAACTGTGAGTCCATATTGTCAGTTCTTCAGAACTGCCCCGGCTGTGCCCAGTCTGGCCCGTTTGTTGAATGATTTGCATCTTGCAGTGAACGTTTGCATTTTTCTCAGAGCTCATCTGCAGAGCTGCTCCAGGTTCTGCTGGAGGTCACGGCGGATCAATGCGGATCACGTTGTTAACGAGCAGCGCCGCCCGCGTTACCTGTGTGTAGACGTTGAGCAGCACCAGGTGGTCTCCGCCCGGAACCACGAAGTTCATCCTGGCGTTGTCGGCGTGCACCACCTTGTCTTTGGGCCGGTAGAAGATGGTTGTTCACCGACAGCATGGCGGCGATGGTCAGCACTTCCTCTGAACACTTGTACCTGGAAACCATGGAAATGATGTTTATAATCGTGTCTGATTGAATTCTTCGTCATAGTGAGAAGTGAAGCTGTGCCACTCACTGCTCTGAGGCCAGGATCATTTTACTCAGCATGGGATCCACCGGTAACTCGGCCATCCTGCGACCCAGCTGGAGCAGAACCAAAACAACCGGTTCAGTTCAGACAAACACTCCCTCAGTGATCAGTGATTAACGAGGCAAGCTGGCCGGGAAGCGCCGAGTCATCCCTCACTTTGAGCAAGTCAGTGACTCAGCAACACGTGACAAACATCAGGTGTAGAAATACGCAGAAGATCACAATGGATCTGGTTCACCCAAATCATAGAGCTGGAGAAAACAGATGAACCTGAACGCATCACCAACATCTGATGCCTTCAGGTTGAGTCACTCTGAGCCTCCTTTACTTGAATCATTTCTCCATAAATGTGTTTCCACAACCCTGCAGGCATACTTCTATTTATGATTACTGCATAGATAAGGTGATAAGGTTCCTTTTGGGAATAATGAAAATCTGACCTTCGACCTCTGTTTGGCCTCCAGGTATCAGTAACAAGATACTAAAAGCTGAAAAGCATTGATCCCGTGTCATTTCCTCCCATTCAGGGACTTTATCATCATGGAGCTACATGTTGACACCTGATGCAGAGACGCCGCCGTAGCACCTGGAGCTGCGGCGGCACCCGGAGCTGCGGCGGCGCCCAGAGCTGCTGCGGCACCCGGAGCTGCGGCGCCGTCCCTGCATCTTTACCCCGATTAGCTCGGGGCGCCACCACAGTCGTATTACAATGTTGTTTTGTATCGCAGGTTTAGAAGTAAATGCTGAGGTGAGTTTTTCTGGGACGGTGCCGTACGCAGCGCTACAAAGCAAGCTGGGATAAAACATGAACCTTGGTGAGCTCCCCCAGGTGGTTGAGGGCTCCCAGCGCGTACAGCTGCTCCAGGGCCAACACCAGGGTCTCATGGGGCGGCGGGTCCATGAAGTCAAA